CAAATTATACTTCGTATTATCAATTAAGTTAAAATTTAACTTTTGCACTTAGTTTGGGCTTGTCACCTAAACAGCCACTTTACTGACAATTACTGCTCCACTCTTTTTTTTACTATTTTAGAAACAAACTGTTTGGGGAATGGTAATGTCCCTTAAGGTTGTTTATCTACTAAACAGTTAATCTGTAAAAGGTCAGAGATGGGATATTTTAAGTTAGAATGTACAATCTGTTGCTGGGAACAATGTTACCTATACAGACTGTTAATATAACTAAGAAATAAGCCAAAAGCTATATCTGTTATCTTGCTGATCATGAAAAATGCAAAATTAAATTTCTTCTTAAAAAAACATTTATACATTGAGTTAACTTTAATTATGTAATATAAAGGAATGGGAAACAATTATAACCATAATGTACCTTTTTTTAGCTTAAATTTATATTTTACCCTACAGCAAAGCAGATTTCAATCCCACGGGTCCACTATGCCTCAGAGTACAAAAAATATCAAGTCATCCCTTATGTCCACATTGTTTTTACATACCATTGCTTCTGAATGAATCTATTTTTTTTACATATGCTGTATTGGATAAAAATAGAATTTCTCCTGTCTCTTGCTTCCTCTTAAAAGGCCATATTCCACTCTCATTTTCCAGTTCTGCTACTTTCCTACCTTGTCGCTTGGTTGCTATCCCCCACTCTGCCCTTCCTTTCGTGTTGAGCAGGGCCCTCATAAACCTATTATTACTGTAACAGATTGTAATTGTCTAGTTTATTGTTAAATGTCCCCCTTTATAATATTGTAATTAGTTGGCGCTATATAAATAGTATTAATAATAATAATAATAATAATAATAATAATAATAAGTATGTCACTAGAGGTACATTTACATAGTTGCATTAATTGTCTTCTCAGTTATAACATAACACATCATTGACACTGACCATAATCTGTCAATAAACCATTTAACAGTATCATATACATATTTTATATGAGGACAAAATGTCAGGGTAAATGGGGTGTATATCTAGCACTATATCAAGCATTCCTAAAATATGTTTTTTTACCACCGTTCCTTACCAACTTTCCTCCTATATTTGCATGCAGTTAAAATGTGTCCTGAAAATGTCAACAAACAATATAATCACATGAGTGTTATTTCCCTTAAAAAGAATATAAGGCTAACTATGTGATATATTTATTTGTTTTCACCATTGCAGTAATCTTTCTTATTCACATATGAAGTACAAAACACAATTCTTAATAAATGATCTGTAATCTTTAATCCCTTAAAGGCGGTGGGCATGCTAAGCTGTCCTTGGGGACCCGGCATAGCACGTCCCTGCTGTCCTTTGTACTCACCTGGCATCCCAGGGAGTCCCCCTCCTTCCATTCCGGCCCCCCTGGGCCATGTGATTGTGAGGTCCTTGTGATCACATAGACAGAATAGCCACCCACATATCTATAATATTTGTGTTTAGCGAAGTCACCCGAGTATAACAGTACCCCTCATGTACAGGTTTGATGGTGTTTTCAAAAGTTAGAGAGTCAAATATAAGGCTTGCGTTTCAGTTTTTTTTCAGTTCACGTTGAAATTCACCAAATTGGTTACATTGCCTTTGAGACCATATGGTAGCCCAGGAATGAAAACACTGGCCAAAATTGGTGTTCAAATTAGTTTTTTGCATTTTTCACACACAAAACAAATATTAACACTAACTTTGGCCAATGTTTGTGACTAAGTGGCTACTAAAAAAGACTGGACATACCTCATTTGCAATACCTTGGGTTGTCCACTATTGCAAATGGTATCCCATCATGCGGGTAATTCTCATTCCTGGGCTACCATACAGTGTCAAAGGCAACATAACCAATCAGGCGAATTTCAATGTGAAAAAACTGAAAAATGTAACATGCTATATTTGACTCTGTAACTTCCCAAAACACCATAAAACCGCTACATAGGGAAAGCTGTTTTATATTTGAGACATTGCTGAATACAAATATGTGTATTTTATTATAGTAACAGCAAACAGTATGACATTCACAGTTAAATTGTCACGTAGAACTAAAAAATTTTCTCAAAATCGTATTTTCTCCCATTTTTGTATTTTATTCATATTAAATTATGTTTCATACCTAAATATTTTATGTTAAATGAAAGCCCTTTTTCCCCTGAATAAAATTATATATAATAAGTGTGGGTGCACATAATATGAAAGAGGTGAATTACGCCTGAACAGACATATAGCGTGTAACGGATTACCTGGCACCCCGACTGGGTACCTCCGTTGATGAATGCTCCATCGCTTACCAAGGACCATCAGCACTGCACTGAGCCTCCACTTGAAACCTCCAGGCACTGGACGACACTCAGTCCTGGGAACTCTGGAACCGATTGGGGGAATTAGCTCTAGTCCTTACAAGGACTTTCCCCATTGAATCTCCTGCAAGCTGGTACAGCAGACACAGGAGCAAATCTTCTTCCCTCCAATAACAGGACAACACACAGTTTTGGAGTGTAAACAGGAACAGACTGAGCTGGGGCTTTATTGCTTCTTTTATACACATTTCCCCACAAGGTTACCACCCACGTGGACCTTGTGGTACACAGGACACAAAGTTGCAACAGCCAATCAACAATGTACAGTACAGTCAGACACTCCCAGCTAATGCACACAAACCCTCCCCTCTGCCTGTGATAAAATTACCTCAACACAATGGACTAAGTCAATTATCACAGGCAGAAAAATATACTTTTTACACATTTTCTATAAGTTTAAAATTACACATCACATGCGCATAAAACTTACATTTTCAGAAACAGCATAATAAGGGAACAAACATACTCAAAGTCATGCAAATCCGTTCAGCCGTTCGGGAGTTAGCTGGAAGTCTCCTTTGACCGACCGCATGCACATTTTAATGCCAAAACAGTTCCACAGATTTGTGCTGTGTGGCCGGTCTATTCATCCCAGAACGGGTGCCGTTCGTGCAAATAGCATTGTTAATGTAGCGTTCGAATTGTCGAACGCTGTTCGACTCCATTTGACATGTGAAAGTTCCAAAAGAAGGTAAAACTTCAGCGGTGTTCGTGCTGTTGAGTATCCGATTTTAGTTCCATGAACTCAACGGCAAAACACCGCTGACCGCGTTCGGCTGAATTAAAATGGCTGCAGCCATGTGTTCATTTGTCGAATGGCGGCCACTTCGACTACTTCGGAACTTCGGCTGCATTTGAAGTGTCATAGCAAAAGTACAGATCCCTTCCAAGAGTATGTAAAGGGGCAGAAACTGTGCAATAAAATCCAATCTGCCAAAATAACAAATTTAAAGGGCAATACATCCCAGGGGCCATAGTAACACGGCAGGAGACTGGCAAGCAGGCCTCTCCAAAACCCAGTGGCAAAGTCCCTTTCATTACATAGCGCAAATTCCCGGTTTTGTTATGATCACAACGTGTACATTTGACTCAATCCTTAAGAGGTTAACTAGGGGCATAAATGAAGGAGCTAGGAGAGTGTGAAGTGTGAGAAATTGAGAACAGTGTACATTGTTTTTAACTACTAGCATTATGATTATTATATAAATCTATCACAACTTTAAAATTGGATACAACAAACAAATGGAACAAGTTAAAGCTCAATGCCATCATGAGTTGGAGTACCCTACCCAAATGAGCCAATATAACCCAAATGAGCACAAATAACCTAGAATCGCCCCCACTTACTTAAAGAAGAAACTTAATGTTTTTCATTTATATGCATTTTGGTCTAGGTATTCTGGATTCCATTGTTAATGAACTCTGTATCCATGAACTGCAGAATGCTATGTTGAATCAAAGCCTTAGTAAATTGACACTATGCTCACTTACCCATTTGTACATTTGCCCTCTTTACACTGAATTTGTTTACTCCTTTCTTCTCATTTCTAATTCTCTACATATAATTAATTCTCCTTCCTTTTCACAATCCCTTTCCACAAATTGATTTTAATCAATGCCACGTACCTTAATCATTACGTTATTATGTTGCATGCATTTAAATGTTTAAATATAGACCTTGCAAGTTACATTCCATGTCACTGCTTATTAAACATGTTACTGAATGTTTGTGTGAAGGACTATTTCTCCCTGGTTACATTTAAATATGAGCCTGCTTCGGCTTCAAGAAAAAAAAAACAAGTGGGAAGCTAATTCTGTGTAGACAAAATCTAGGACAGTCACTAGGGGGTAACTCTTTTTTTAAATCTGACAATTTTTATTGTTTTCTTCAATATCGGAAGAGGGGGTGGGAGGGGGTACAGAAAAAAGAAGGGGGGGAAGGGTAGGTGGTGGTGAAGATCAGTACATGCAATTTTCAGATATTTGACATTTGACATTTACATGCTTTGTATTCGTCAGTGGTTCACATGTTACATACATTTGTAGTCATTTCGAGGTGTGACCCATGGTTCTGCATTATTTTGCCCGCTTTCTTTTCCTTCTTCAGGTGTCGGGTTTAGAAGTGTGTGTGACTTAGGTTCGCATTGGGGTGGTGTATTTCTCACCCTGTTTGTGTCATTACGAGGTATGGGCAGTTTTGCCTTGGGAGATCGTGGGGTGGGCGGGGGGGGCTCGGTGCGGCCAGGGGACAGAGGGTTGTGAGTGCAGTGTAGGTTGGGTGTTGTGTTTGATGTGTCCTCATTTCGTGTGCTTTGTGCCTCCGGTCGGGGAGGTTCTGGTTTTCGTCTGTTGTGTTTGTTTTGTTTTATTTTTGTCTAGTGTCGCGTTGTCCCACATTTCCCATGCAGTGGGCCAGTAGTTGGCCATCGGTCTCGTTTTCCTCGCCATAATTTCATAGTGTTCAGTGGTTTCGATCGCCTTGATGCATTGTTTAATATGTGGGCTGGATGTCTGTTTCCATTGTCTGCTGATGACCACGAGGGCCGCAATTATAATGTGATATAGTAGATACCTATGGCTTTTCTGTGGGATGTTCGGGAGCAGGAGCAGTAAGAACGTTTCAGGCAATTTTGGTAGTTGTACGTTTGTACCAGACACCTGTTGCCAGTATCGGGTTAGTTTCGGGCAATGCCACCAGATGTGTATCATGGTTCCTCGGGCCGTTTGGCATCTCCAGCAGATATCTGAGCTTTCGGGGTAGCTGTGTTTGAGCCGTGTAGGAACTAAATACCATCTGTAGAGTATCTTCCGAGACAGTTCCAGGTGGGTTGTGCAAAGTGTAAGTTGTTTGTGGGCTTTAAAGATGTCTTGCCACTGGTCAGTTGGGAGTGGGTGTCCGACGTCTCTTTCCCATGCTAATTTGAAGGAGGGGGTTGGTCGTGTTCGGAGGCGTAGATCCTAGATATAAGTTTCGTGGCCAGTTTGAGTCTCGTACAGATGTTTGTCACCGTTCTCCAGTGTTGGTTCTGGGGTTTTGCTGTTTGCTGTTTTGGTTGGAGGGCGAACCAGGAGCGTAGTTGCATGTAGGAGAAGGTGGCTGTGTTAGGTAAATTGAATTCTGTTTGAAGATCTAAGAGTTTTTTAAGGTTTTGGTTATTCATTAGCTGTGACATGGTGGTTATTCCGTGCCTATGCCAAAGTTTATAGTTGAAATCGGGTATGAGCAGGCGAAGCACCTCGAGCGGGAGCGCAGGTGAGAGCAGTGCTGTGTCGCCTATTCGTTTCCTGTACCTGTCCCATATCGAGAGGGTTAGTGCGGTGGTTGGCAGCAGATCAGAGAGTTTCGGTCTGTGCGTTGTCGGTAGCCAGGCTAATAGTGGCAGGGAGAGGCCATGTGCATAGTTCTTTTCTAGGGTGGCCCACGCCATCGGGTCTTTTTGGTGGGATGTTGTGACTAGTGGAGTTATTTGAGCTGCACAGTAGTATCCCGCCACGTCAGGCATTCCCATCCCTCCTTGGGCAAATGATCAGTGCATTGTGGTTTTTGCTACTCTTGGTTTCGCGTTTTCCCACACATAAGCGTTGAGGAGGTTTTGTAGTTCCAGCAGATACTTTGTGGGAAGCTTGAGTGGGAGTGTGCGGAATAAGTATTGTATTTTTGGTAGGAGCACCATTTTTATCGAGGCTATCCGGCCTGTCCATGAAATGTATTTCCCTTTCCACCCTTGTAGAATGGATTTGACTTCACCAAGCAGTTTGGCGTAATTCGCTTTGAAGAGCCTGTTTGGTGTGGGTGTAAAGTTGATCCCTAGGAACTTTATATGGTCATGTCTCCAGTTGTAGTCAAAGTTAGCTTTTAGGGCAGTCAAGTCTTGGGACGGGATGTTAATCCCTAGGGCAAGGGTCTTTGCAATATTTCATTTGTAGTATGAGCATTTGCTGTATTGGGATAGGGTCTTATGAAAGTTGGGTAGCGATATGTGTGGTTGTTCTAGGGATAAGAGGATGTCGTCCGCGAACAGGGATAGCTTATATTCTCGGCCTTTGGCTTGGATCCCATGGACGTTTGGGTCGTCTCGGATTCGCTGTGTTAAGGGTTCTAGAGCTATTATATAGAGTAGTGTAGAGAGTGGGCAGCCTTGTCTAGAGCCGTTAGAGATGGTGAACATTTTTTATATGAATCCCCCGTTTACTACTCTGGCTGTTGGTGTGGAGAATAGTGCTGTGATCAGTGCTATGAATTGGGGTGGGAATTCAAATTTCTTTAAGACTGCGAGTAGAAAAGGCCAGTGAAGTCTATCAAAGGCCTTCTCCGCATCCAGGGATAGGAGGATGCTGGGGGCCTTTCTGTTTTGCATTCCGTACAGTAGGTCTAGGGTTTTCCGTGTGCCATCTGCTCCCTGTCTGCCTCCAACAAACCCCACCTGGTCCTCCCCGATAATTGTGGGTATGATGGGTGCTAATCTATTGGAAAATATCTTGGCAATAAGCTTGATGTCCGTATTTAGCAGGGATATGGGCCGCAGGTTTTGGCATCTATTCGGGACTTTCCCAGGTTTGGGGAGGGTGGCAACATGTGCCATTAACATTTCTGTCGGTATCGTCCCTGACTGGAGAATATGATCAAACAAGTTTTTTAGGTGTGGGGTGATGATGGGTGCAAATTGTTTGTAGTATGTGTTGGTTAGTCCGTCTGGGCCTGGTGATTTCCCTGGAGGGAGGGATCGGATTGTGTCTAGTATTTCTTGCGTGCTAATTGGGATTTGGATGGCGCTTTGTTGTGCGGACGTTAGTGTGGGTAGTCCTACAGGTTGCAGAAAGTTGTCTATGTCCTGTGAGGAGGGTTGGTGGAGTGTCGGGTCTGCATTGAGGTTGTAGAGGGAGTGGTAGTAGTCGGCCATGTTATCATTGATGTCTTGTGGTTTGTGGATCTTCTCCCCTGAGGGAGTGAGGAGATATAGTATTTTGGAGTTGGCCTGTTTTTGCCTAAGTAGCGTAGCTAGGTGTTTCCCTGCTTTGTTGCCTTGGGTATATGTCTTCAGTTTAAGTTTCGTGAGTATGTGGGTTGTTTTTTCCAGAGTCAAGGTGTTAATTTTGGCGGTAATATTTTTTATGGTTTCGGTGCGTGTGTCAGATGGGTCCAGGAGGTGTGCATTCGTCTCATCTCGTAATGTTCGTAGCAGATCCATGTGTTCTTTGGTGTGCTGTCGCTTGAGGAAGGATGCCCGGCTGATTAAGTAACTTCTCATGACCGCTTTGTGGGCCTGCCAGACGGAGGTAGTGGAGGCCCCGGATTCTGCATTGTTGTGGAAGTAGTCTTGCAGGTGTTGCGTTAGCTTTGCTTTGAATGGAGTATCATGTAGGAGTGTGTCATTGAGGCGCCACAGGGGTCTACCCCTGTGTTGGTAGTGGTCGTGTAGGGTCAGAGTTACGGGTGCATGGTCTGACCATACTATGTTCCCTATGGTGCAGTCGACTATCTGCGGAATTAAAGAGCCTGAGACGAGGATGTGGTCGATTCTGGAGAACATTTTATGGACTTGGGAGAAGAAGGTGTACTCTCGCGTGGAAGGGTGGTTGGTCCTCCAGGCATCATACAGGCTAAAGTCCTGTATGAGTTTCTGGAATGCTATATTGTGAGGTTTGAGCTTGAGGTGCCTAGCGGAGTTGCTGGGGGTTGTTGAGTCCACGCGGGAGTCCATGGTATGGTTGAGGTCACCGCCTATAATCTTGGGCTTGTTGGGCTGGTCGGTAATTTGGTGAGGACTCTGTGTAGAAAGTTGCGCTGTTGGTCATTCGGGCTGTATAGGCTTACTAGTATAAAGGGGTTATTGTTTATGATGCAGTGCAGAATCACGTATCTGCCTTGGCTGTCTTTTTTGATGTGGAGTATTTCCGCTGTCAGAGACTTGTGTAGTAGAATGGAGACCCCTCTGGATTTGGATGTGTGTGTTGGGTGGAATTGTGTGGGGTATTCCTGGGTGCAAATGTGGGTATGCGGTTGGTGACGAAATGCGTTTCTTGTATACAGGCTATGTCTGCTTTGGTGTGTTTCAGATCATCTAGCAGTATACGTCTTTTGTGCGGCGTGTTAAGGCCTTTAGTATTATGTGAGTAGATAATCATGTTTGGGACGTTGTGTTAAAAAAGTTTTTTTTTTTTTTTTTGACAGACAAGTTGTCCCTGTTTCGTGATGTATGTGTCGGTGTGTAGGGTTGGGGGGGGAGGAGTAGGGTGGGCTGGGTGGGAGTTAGGTGCTATATACAATGACCGTAGTCGGTCTGGTACCCTGGGCGTACCGTGGGGGTTAGGAATAGAACTTCCAATTGGGTGGCTATATGGGCTCCAGTTTGGATTTGTGATAAGGCAGAAATAACATTGAGAGATAACATAACATTAAAGCACAGTAATGTATTAGGCATTAAACTTGTAGAGTGCGCAAGTATCAATTCTAATGGCCCTCAAGGGCAGTGTCTGATTGTATGTAGCCATCTACGACTGTCCTCGACGTGGTGGGCATTGGCAGTCAGGGTGGTCAGGTCAGTGGCTTTGGGTCGTCTGCTGGGGTTAAGGTTCTCATTTCCCCCTGCTTCACGCATGGGTTAGTCCGCGAGGTTATGTGGTCGGGCTCGCTAGGGCCCCCATATATCTGGTCTTTTGCATGTTTGTCTGAGCGGCCTCTCCGAGCCCCTCCTCATCTCTCTAGGGGGCTTTGTCACCGGTTGACCCCACATTTGTGTTGCGGTAGTAAAGTCGCTGTATAAGTCGGTTGCCGGGTTAGGGTCAGCATCCTAGGGAGGCAGTAGCACTCCTCCGGCTCGAGACCCTTAGGGTTTATATTTGCTCAGTCACCCACCTCGGGTCGTTTCCCCAGTTTTTTTTTTTTTAAAAGATCGTTCGCAGGACCTAAGTCAAGGTCACTAAGTAGCAGTTAGTGGATAGTTTAGTCGTGCCAGTTATTAAGAGAATTTTTTTTTTTTTTGTTAACAAAACCATGAACCTAAGTCTGTAGCTCAGTCGTCAGGTAGAGTCAGATTTTGGACAGTATAGACATGATATAGGCATACATTATCAGTTAATCACATTTTTGCATATCAAGTTATGATACTTGCTGCTAGGTGAGCGTTTAGGCGGGCAGTCTATGGGCTGAGTCCGTCATGGTGTTGCGGCCTTGGCGTTGAGGCGCGGGGGTTGCGCCGGTCGTTGCCCTGGCAGTGGAGCCCCACTTTTGAAGTGCTGTTCGGCCTTCCTCCGGTGTTGAGATGATTACTGTCTCTCCGTTCCTGGTGGTGATGATTTTCATCGGGAATCCCCATCTGTATCTGATGCCTTGATTTCTCATCTCTGAGGTGACTTGTTGGAATTCCTTTCTACGTCTCAATGTCGCCGCGGACAGGTCTGCCATAATACGGACCGTTGGGTAGTCATCATGTGGGCCGGGTCTGTTGCGGTGCGCTCGGAGGATCAATTATTTTATGTGGTAATAATGTGCCCGGAGTAGCACATCACGGGGTGTTGAATCGGGTAAGTATTTAGGCTTGGCCACTCTGTGGACCCTGTCCACGAGGAGCATGTCCGCCGGGATTTCTGGGGCATAGGAATGCAGTAGGCCCCTCACATATACTTGCAGGTCTTCTGGTGAGACGGATTCTGGGACCCCTCGCAGCCGTAAATTGTTCCTGCGCATTCTGTCTTCATAATCCGCCATGCGCGCCTCCATTTCTCCCATTTTGTTTTGCAGAGTTTGCATTTGGCCTGTTAGGTCGGCTTGTGTGGACTTCATGTCCTTGCATTGCATTTCCACTGAGGCAGTCCTGGAGGAGAGGTCTCGTACTTCTCTTTTGATCTGGTCCGCCGTGGATTGCCATGTGTGGATCAGTTTTGTTGCCATCGCATCCAAAGCTCTCTCAAAGTGCCCTATTGTGAGGTAATCTGAGGTCTGGGAGGTTTCTGAAGCTGCCGGAGGGAAGGTAGCGTCCGGGTCCCCGGCGCCATCTTGCAGTGTGGCCTGTGCGGTCTCTAGTGTCGCGGCCGTTTTTTGCCCAAAAAAACTCAGTTTTTCCGCCTTCGAAAGCGGACTTCGTAGAATTGGAGGACGACAGAATGTGCCTGATGTCGGGTTGTATTTCTGCGGCTTTATTCGCTGTATATTAGGAGCCCATGTGCCGGAGCGGGCTTCTATGCGGCCATCACTCTCGGCGGTTAGCCACGCCCCCCAGGGGGTAACTCTTTAAGGAAAATAGTAATTTTGAGAGAGAGAGAAAATGTGATCTGTCCCAATAGTGCAGAAAGTATCGTAGGAATAAATGAAAAAATTTACCTTTATTGGAATAAGAATAAAAAAGAGTTATAACCTAAAAATCAAGGGAAAGGGAAAAGGGAATATGAAAGCAATTACGATACGACACTAATTGCAGTGATAAAGATAATCAGGCAAAGACTACTACGAATAATATATAGAGACACTGGTGTCTAAATAGCTAATAACATGATGTGTTGTTAACATGAAATAGTAACAATGTGTCAGAGTCCCTGACTCGGAAGTAATAGAGCAATCTGAAGTAATAGAGCAAGCTGTAACAATAATGGGAACAGCTACTAACTATCACATGTTAACAGAACACTGAAAAATAATGAACCCTTGGTAAAGGGGGGAATGTTGTCTAAATGTTGAGTATACACATGGGCAGCATCCTTCAATAATAGGTACAGCAACAGTATATCTCTATATAAGAAAAAATGAATATAGCAAACGTGCAAGAAAGAGGAGCAGTGTTAGGGTTAAGGAAAAGTAAATAGAAAAGGAAGGAACTGCAGCATATGGATTAGGATACCATATAGAACAATATAGATAATATAGGTATTTGCACTCAGACTGTATGCACTCCAGTCTGAGTGCAAATATATGCTGAATAAGCCCTCAGGAATAGTTGCCTTCGAGGGCACCTGAAAGTGTATTTATTTAGGAAAAACTCGAGGATGACTAGTATGCTTGTTTAGTAAGTTGTCATAAGGTTAATATGCATGAAAGTTGTTCCATTTGTCCTCCGGGGTGTCTATAGTACATTTTACCAAGAAAAAGCAATGGCATCCATTCCATAAGGCTCAATAACAGGAATATTGTTGATTTATATCAGTGCAAGAAATTGTTTCCGATTGCACATCCAGGGACAAATATCTGTCAGTACTAAAGTTCTGCATTAGTTCTTGCTTTACATTTCACAAATGCTCTTTACAGTAATGTTCTAGAAATGTTTTATTGAAGTTGGTTGGCAAGCTAAAACAAGTCAGTTCAGGCAACACCTAACTTATTAATTACTTTGATTCTCTATTTCTAAATTGCACAGGAAATGTATCCACAAGGGCTTTGCTTTACATAATGTTTATTTGATTAAACTCCTAAAGGTGCCCATTGAAAGTGACTTGAGCCTTGTTACATATTATTGCATTGGAATACCAACTTAATTTAAATAATACTTCACTGGTTATATTAGACCTGCTTAGTAATTTGACCAGAAAAAACAAAGGGAAATTGTAATTTAAATTATACTGTTTCTTCATTCCTAATACAGAGCATCATTTTTGTCATCATCATAAATATGTGTGTACGTATATAAAATATAAATATGATTAATATGTTTCTAGTTGTTTTCCTTCTGAATGTTTATATTTAAATGAAATGAATTATCATACAGTGCTCTAGTGTAATATTACCAGTTAGGGATCTAAGAGGCTCGTGCACTGTTCAGAATATTTCTGTCAGTGGGTGCTGTTGTCCAAAGTCTATCAGAGATCTTGCACTTGTTAATCACTTATACCACCAATACCATTGCTCACATCAATTCTGATGAAAATGCTGAGCTGCAACACCTTTTTAATATCTACAGCATTTGCATAATATCCTTAATTCAATTATGCCAATATATGCTAGATCTTGACACACATTGATGTTCTGTAAAAGCAAGAGTGACCAATATATTCTTATTTAAACTCTCCGCTGCATAGGAACTGCACCCCTTATAATTAATTTCTGGTTTGTGACTTGGCTTATGATTGACTTTGTCTGACTACTTTTTTACTCATCTCCATGAAAACACTGTGCATTAAGCCAAACCAAACTAAGGCTCAGTAATACTTCTCTATATTGTTTACTTTTTACTAGTGATCTTCACCTGTGTGAAGGATCTATATGATTTGTGACATCCATTTGTTGCTTTCTGATAATATCCATAAAACCAAAAGTTATTTAGTTTTCTCCATTTTCAGTATCTATTATTGAAAATCAAAGACTGGTTACACAAACCAGGTTAACTGATATCTTGCTAGTTCTAAAACACAATGTTCCTTTATAGATGCTAGCATAGGATTCATACGTTGCATATTTATTTTTTATTATATCTGGAGCCTTCAGATTAGGGTCTTTTTTCCTTCTTAATTAAGAATAGCCAGAGGATTGCCATTTGCTTGATTTTGCAAACACAGAACACAGGTGTGGCAAACGTGCCTATGTCACGAGCTCCTGGAGGAGCCTGCTAGCTAGCCTCCTGCCCAAGGATTCGAGAGTTAACCCTGTCCAGCCACCATTAGCAGCTTTCCCTAGGTGTGCCTGGTTTGTCACTTTCCCTTCATTCGAATGGAACCAAATACTAGCTCTCTGGTGGCCGTTTGCATGAAGAAACCCCAAAATTGTCCTCAGCGGTACTTAACCACGATGGTTATGGAACTAAATTCGTCATGATGACTTTGTGGGTCCCTGGTCACCTCAGCAGTACTTAGCCATGAATGTTATACAACTGTTTTCGGCATAAGGGGACCATGCAGTTCCTGGACAACTTGGTCTGACGTTTTGAATGACGCCAGGAGAGCAGTTTTTGGAGGGGAGGTGTCCGAGACTAAGGGGAACAAACGCTACCTAAGAGCCAGGTGGAGCACCCTCTATTTCAGCTGCAGGAGCTCCTGAAAGTTAACTGGCAAAAGCACCAAACACCCTGGGCATAGGACCACACGTGCAGCCGGTCAGAACTTTAACATGGTGGTATTTCCCAAACACTGCAAGAATCTGAGCACTATTTGGAGAACTTTGGTGCTTAGATCAGGGCTATTGGGGGATGTATTTGTATTTGTGGGGTTATTGAGTATTTTTATGGTGTTTTGGGGTAATTTTATGTTTTTATATTTTTGTGTTTGCCTCTCTGTTCCTGGGAGATAATTAGCTTACCAATCTTCAACTCAATTATCTCACAGGCACAGAGATCTTTGGGAGGGGCTTCCATTGAATTGTGTGGAAACCCACTGCTGAGGATTGTGTATATAAGCAGGCTACTTAGCCATAATAAACAAATTCCTTCTCATCCTTCACTCAGTCTGGGCTAGTGTTTTGGTGAATCAGCTATACTCTCTGTGGGAGATCTTAATTGCTTAAAGCTGTACCCAGGACCATAATCCAGGGCAGGTTGCAATGGAGAGACCCCAGCAAAGCTGCAGCAGCTAGGAGCTGAAGCACTACTGGTGTCCCAGTGATAGCTAGGAAGCGAGCTTGATGGAGGTACTCAGTCAGAGTGCGAGGCGGTCAGTCACAGCAGCTATTCTCACGTCACCTGCAAGAAATCACCTTTTAGATAAGGTATTTCTCTGAGAACAAAAACCTATGGTTTATCATTCATGCAGGTACAAAATACCCAATCTGAAAATAAGTACCACATTACATAATTTATTATTTTGTTACTTTTCTAATATCGCCGCAATAGGAGTCAATGGAGTTGCCAGCAGAGGGACTGTCTGAGCTGTCAGCCAGTCCCCCAGGCTGCTAAAAGGTAAATAAATAAATAAATAAATACATAAAGCATTTTATAATATATTATATACATATAATGCATATATATGATTTCTTTATAAGTGTTATTTGAGATATATACACATGTATCTCAAAATACACTTATAATGAAATCATATATATGCATTATATATCTATATTATAAAATACTTTAATTATAATATAGTATACATATATAGGAAATAAAAGTGTGTGTACATAAATATATATAAATACAAAAAGAATACCGGCACTCTAGGCTTTCCAAAGATTTCTTCTTTATTGATAGTTAATCCAGGTCAACGTTTCAGCTCCCGATCGGAGCTTTCATCAGGACACACAAAAAAAGATACCAACTTTTTTTTATTTATATACAGTTGCAAGAAAAAGTATGTGAACCCTTTGAAATGATATGTATTTCTGCACAAATTGGTAATAAAATGTGATCTGATCATCATCTAAGTCACAATAGACAATCACAGTCTGCTTAACCCCTTAAGGACACATGACATGTGTGACGTCATGATTCCCTTTTATTCCAGAAGTTTGGTCCTTAAGGGGTTAAACTAATAACACACAAAGAATAAAATGTTGCCATGTTTTTATTGAACACACCATGTAAACATTCACAGTGCAGGTGGAAAAAGTATGTGAACCCTTGGATTTAATAACTGGTTGAACCTCCTTTGGCAGCAATAACTTCAACCAAATGTTTCTTGTAGTTGCAGATCAGACGTACACAACGGTCAGGAGCAATTCTTGACCATTCCTCTTTACAGAACTGTTTCAGTTCAGCAATATTCTTGGGATGTCTGGTGTAAATCGCTTTCTTGAGGTCATGCCACAGCATCTCAATCGGGTTGAGGTCAGGACTCTGACTGGGCCACTTCAGAAGGTGTATTTTCTTCTGTTTAAGCCATTCTGTTGTTGATTTACTACTATGCTTTGTGCCATGTTGCAACACCCATCTTCTGTTGAGCTTCAGCTGGTAGACAGATGGCCTTAAGTTCTCCTGCAAAATGTGTTGATAAAACTTGGGAATTAATTTTTCGTTCGATAATAGCCATCCGTCCAGGCCCTGACACAGCAAAGCAGCCCCAAACCATGATGCCCCCACCACCATACTTCACAGTTGGGATGAGGTTTTGATGTTGGTGTGCTGTGCCTTTTTTTGCCACACATAGTGTTGTGTGTTTCTTCCAAACAACTCAACTTTTTTTTCATCTGTCCAAAGAATATTTTGCCAGTACTGCTGTGGAACATCCAGGTGCTCTTGTGCAAACTGTAAACATGCAGCAATGTTTTGTCTGGACAGCAGTGGCTTCCTCTGTGGTATCCTCCCATGAAATCCATTCTTGTTTAGTGTTTTACATATTGTAGATTCGCTAACAGGGATGTTAGCATTTGCCAGTGACTTTTGTAAGTCTTTAGCTGACACTCTAGGATTCTTCTTCACCTCATTGAGCAGTCTGCGCTGTGCTCTTGCAGTCATCTTTACAGGACGACCACTCCTAGGGAGAGTAGCAGCAGTGCTGAACTTTCTCCATTTATAGGCAATTTGTCTTACCGTGGACTGATGAACAGCAAGGCTTTTGGAGATACTTTTATAACCCTTTCCAGCTTTATGCAAGTCAACAATTCTTAATCGTAGGTCTTCTGAGAGCTCTTTTGTGCAAGGCATCATTCACATCAGGCAATGCTTCTTGTGAAAAGCAAACCCAGAACTGGTGTGTGTTTTTTATAGGGCAGGGCAGCTGTAACCAACACCTCCAATCTCATCTCATTGATTGGACTCCAGTTGGCTGACATCTCACTCCAATTAGCTTTTGGAGATGTCATTAGTCTGGAAACATAGAAAGATAGAATGTGACGGCAGATAAGAACCATTCGGCCCATCTAGTCTGCCCAATTTTCTAAATACTTTCATTAGTCCCTAGGCTTATCTTATAGTTAGGATAGCCTTATGCCTATCCCACGCATGCTTAAACTCCTTTACTGTGTTAACCTCTACCACTTCAGCTGGAAGGCTATTCCATGCATCCACTACCCTCTCAGTAAAGTAATACTTCCTGATATTATTTTTAAACCTTTGTCCCTCTAATTTAAGACTATGTCCTCTTGTTGTGGTAGTTTTTCTTCTTTTAAATATAGTCTCCTCCTTTACTGTGTTTATTCCCTTTATATATTTAAATGTTTCTATCATATCTCCCCTGTCTCGTCTTTCCTCCAAGCTATACATGTTAAGATCCTTTAACCTTTCCTGGTATGTTTTATCCCGCAATCCATGAACCAGTTTAGTAGCCCTTCTCTGAACCCTCTCTAAGGTATCAATATCCTTCTGAAGATACGGTCTCCAGTACTGTGTACAATACTCCAAGTGAGGTCTCACCAGTGTTCTGTACAATGGCATGAGCACTTCCCTCTTTCTACTGCTAATACCTCTCCCTATACAACCAAGCATTCTGCTAGCATTTCCTGCTGCTCTATTACATTGTCTGCCTACCTTTAAGTCATCAGAAATAATCACCCCTAAATCCCTTTCCTCATATGTTGAGGTTAGGACTCTATCAAATATTCTGTACTCTGCCCTTGGGATTTTACGTCCAAGATGCATTATCTTGCACTTATCCACATTAAATGTCAGTTGCCACAATTCTGACCATTTTTCTAGTTTACCTAAGTCATTTGCCATTTGGCTTATCCCTCCTGGAACAT